TAGTTATTGGATGGATTAAAATGAGTGCGTGAGACGTGCAGGTAGAAAAACATGTCTGATACACTTGACATACACGGTTTAGACTTGATGACAATACTAATTACACAGGGCAGTGTTATAGCATATCAATATACACGTAATGAATACAAATCACAAATGCGCGATGCATCCCTCCCTTCCCAGCACCCCTCATTCACCTGTAAGATATTGTTTAGAAGTAATGGCCTTAAGTCAGTTATATGCAAAAGGTGAAAATAGAAGAGCAATAACAAACAAAACTAAAACATGTAGCACTTTACGTTACAGCTCGGTAATACCATATATATAGTATAGTATGATATATCAATAGTGGGGTAATAGTTTGATATTAAAGAGGTAATAATGAAGTGCCCCAGAGTACATTACGATTGAGTACCATGAGTCTTGCAAAATTTTGAGCCAAGAGAAAAGCTGATTATATGTCACGTTATTTAGGTCTAATATGTTTACATGCTAGAAATAACCCTTTAGATTCCCAATATGTGGTCAATTTATCCAAATAACAAGTGTGTGGAAATTTGCTGTGACCATTTTTCGAGAGAACATCAGCATTTGCTACCTAAACTGCTCATTTAAGTTATTCCTCAATATATGTATATGTAGAATATAATTCACACAAATATACAGGTACCCTATCATAGGCTGACTTAACATGATACAGTATAGTCTTCCAGAGTTTAGCTAACAACCCAGCATGCAAGACAGGTGTTAAAAAGGTATTGATATTGTTGCCTAATACAGAGAGATAAAAAAGGCTTATCAGGCTGAGCTAATTAGCAACACTGTTCTCGATCTCAGTAGGGTTCAGGTATCTGTAGGGTATTTCAAGCTGCAAGTTTCTTGTTGAAATTGCTTCACTGAGGTCGGACAACTCTGCTTGAAATTCCTTCATCATCTGCTTTGGAGCAGGCTCATGGAATCGTTCTTCGGGGTATGAACCCATGAGAATCTGACAAAAGGACAAAACTAAACTGTAAATCGGATTGACACAATATTGTGCTTGGTACGATTTATTTTAAACACTTTAAATGTGGACGAGTTATAATGACCGTTTATCATCACCAAACCTACCATGTCAGTGTACTTATGATTAAGTAGCCAAACCATTGCTGCAATGCGGACTGTCAAGTCAACATCTGGGAGGGTCTCCAAAATAGTTTTCATGCTTGACTGCCCCTTAGTGGTTGGAGGAGGTTTGCGCAGCAGGATTGAGCCATTTGGCACCCAGGAGTAGTAGTCAAACTAAGTTATGAGAGAAATTTCAATATGTAACAACTTTGATACAAAACTAATTCAATAAAATTATTTGAATGTCAAACATTACCAAAATAATTATGTAAATCTACATTGGGAATTCAACCTTTGCACCATTGTAATGCTCAGCGAAAGAAAAAAATGGAATGAATAATAACCAGATTGCAGACCTGCCAAATGTTCATACATATGAATTGTTAAAACAAACTTATACTTGATCAAACATCAATACATATT